AAGCCTGATTCGAAAATTTTGAAAATCGACTGAAAATTATGAAATACTATGAGCTAACCCCTTGCCATTTTTATCAAAAAATTGCATATTGCTAATTTGCATGAAATTTCAGCCAACATCTTTTTTCAATGAACTTGTGTCATATGCACCTTGATTTAATGAAAATTCACGTTGATAAGCCCGATTCGAAAATTTTGAAAATCGACTGAAAATTATGAAAAAACTATGAGCTAACCCCTTGCCATTTTTATCAAAAAATTGCATATTGCTAATTTTCATGAAATTTCAGCCGACATCTTTTTTCAATGAACTTGGATCATATGAACCCTGATTTAGTGAAAATTCATGTTGATCAGCCCGATTTAGTATTTTCAATTTTTAGCTGAAAATGATGAAAAATGGTGAACTATAACCCCTTGCCCTTAAATAGGGCCATTTTTCCAATTCACAGGAAATTTTCCCAGAGACCTATTGTTTCAAGGAAGTGATGTCATATCAACCCTGGAATGATAAAAATGTTATAACTAGGCGTGATTTTAAAATTTTCATTAGATAGGATCTATAATGCCCGTCTGGCAACGAAAGACGACATAAGTATACGTACCGGGTACTCAAATGCACAAAGAAAAAAAACTCAAACATCTTGTTTTAGTGGGATTTTTTTTCTTTCTTATTCTTCTCCAAGCATAATACAAAAATGAGCAAGAAAAATAATATATACATGTGAAATATGTTTATCTTTCATCATACACAAATTATACTACATCACTTTCTTACAAAGCATATAATATTTCCAAGAAAAGAAATCAACATCTAATATACAAACTCAGAACCTCAAAAAAGAAGCATACCTGTAAACCTTAAATCATTAGGAACTAACCATCGAGAACATAATCAAAAAATTTACATACCTACATGAACTATCATAAACATATTCCATGAACTTAATAACATAACTTGCGGTAGACATAAATAATATTAAAACATTAAAGAAGGCCCATAATCATGTTCTACATTATAAAGTCTCGTTATGAATTACTGCACATGAAAACTATACTCGAGCTGTATAATACCACGCTTGAAGGAAGTTGAGTATCAGTAAAAAGTCATAATTAATTTCTTTCTTCTTTTTTTTGAAGGGGGTACGGGGCTGCTTACAGTGTATCTCATTGGTTGGAGATCAAATCTGTTGGTCTTTTTTTTCCAACTAGGTTTGAGAGCTACATCTGTATACGATTATAATAAACGGCCAGACTTATCTAATCAGTTGGCCAAATTTGTTTTTACCTGTAAAAGCATGAATTCCACACATTGGAAATTAATGGTTGTGTTAAAAAGGAGCCACAATATATTTCCCAGTGACTTAGAAATCCTTAAAAATAAAAGTATGTATATAAAAAAAAGATTTAGACTTTTACCAACCCCATATGGCCTTCCATTCAAGCTTTGTGTTTGAATTTGAGTCAAAATAATTGTGACTGAGAGCAAATTACCTTGCTTAATTAAACTAAATATCTTGGGCAACAAAAATTTGATGTGAAAGGGCAGTAAACATTGATTGAAATAACAAAACAAAATGGAATTCTAACTTCTAAAAAAATGATAAAAAAGAAATACAAACTTCTCAGATAAAATGCACCATGTGTATGCCCTATAAACCTTTACGGTATCCCGCCACAACAAATATTTGAGTGGCAGGTTTGTGCATTGTGAATTAAATGGGTATGTGATATTTCACAAATGGCTACTAAGTACCAAAACGTTAAAGGTAAGTCCACTCTGCTATGAAACTGATTTAAGACAATAATTACACAAAAATGAGAAAAAGTAAAGTGAAAGAGCACATTTTTCTCATGATTTTTGTGCCACCTTTTGATGATCACTACACAAATAGGCAACTCGGACTCCTTTTCTACAGAGAAAAAGGTTTCCTTTTTTTCCCCTGTGATTTTTATAATTTGGCCGTGATTGATATAATTAAAATCATGTTCTTCTACTTCCCCTTTTAAAATAATAATAAGAAATATTAATTTCTACCCCTTCTACTCCCATCCAGAACAAAGGGAAAAGATGCTGACAAAAGGAAATCATAGAACTGACATGTTTTAGGGATCATCAAAAAATTCATAACAGCTATTTTCAATCAAGGTTGGACTCCCCTTTAAATAAGAAAGACAAGACTGACAAAAATGAAGTATACATAGTAGCATTATCCTAAAATATCCTGCGATACCTAACAAACAAATAAATATAAAGAAAATATTCCTAACATAAAAAGGGCACTTAAAATCGAAAGGATATGCCAAACAAAATTTACATTTATGTCTCTTATGACAGAGGTAGCAAGGTTTTTTTTCTGTTTTTTCTTCTTCAAAACTACAAGGTAAAACATAAATTCCACAAATTTTTACTTGAAATGAACATAAATAAAAGCAAAACTAACACATTATATGGGCAATATACACAACAGGGCGGTACATAAGTTATAAATCAATACAAATTACATGTTTCTCAAATGAATACATTACGCAAGAGAAGGAAAGGAAAAACAATTACAAACTTTTAAACATTTTAACAGATCTGCCTTTTAAACATAATTGTTCATGATTAAACAGGAGAGAACGTGAAGAAATGAATCACATGAACTGTGCATAGAAATTGCAATAGGATCTCTATTACAGCTACGTATATTAATTAGTACTGGTATTAATTTACTTTCCCATTTAATACTTATTATTTTTAA